ACTCTCCGCCGCAGCCGGTGCCTATATTCGCCGCCTCGCCGTCGCCGGTGTCTGAGATTTGAAAGAGAAGTGAGATTTGAGAAGAGGAACAAGAGTCAGAGAGAGAGAGAGAGAGAGAGAGAGAGAGAGAGAGGAGTGAGGACTCACCGCCGGAGTTGTTGCACCGGTGAACGTTCGTCGCCTCGCCGGTTGTGTGGCTGCCTGAGAGTGTGAGGATGAGAAGTTGAGAACTGTGGAGGATGTGGAGACTGGAGAAGAATAGTTCGACTGGAAAAAGAAAGAAAAGAGGCAAAGAGGTGAAAAAAAGAGGGGGTCTTCAACTAGGGTTTTTAGGTTTAGTTATAGGTCAGGCTGGGCCGGGCTCGGGCCGGGCTATTTTGGCAAATCCCGAGCCCGACTCGAATTTATTGCGGGCCAGGCTTTTTGGCCCGAGGTTAAGCCCGCGGGCCTATATGCGTGCTCAAGCCCGTCCCGGGGCCGGGTGGCCCGACGCCCATGAACAGGTCTAGGTTGTAATTAACTCAACCCGTCCTTCAACGGTGGTAGCATGAAACGTAGTACTCTCCAAGTCCTAGTCCTAGGGATGTGTCAACATAACATACAACATTGACCCAACTACGATTAACCCACCCGTCAAAGTTGCAATTGTCGTATTTTGACCATAACACGATCCAACCAACTTCGCTTAGCCCATCGAAGTTGCAAATGTCCTCCTGGGTTCTGACTATTGTTTTCCCTAGCAAACTTACATTACTCTTTCAAAGATTCATCAGGGTTCATAGCAGAGTCCGCTGGCATTTCTGGGAGCAAATTTCCTTGTGATGGACTCCTTTTGGTCCACTCACTTGTTTGGTAAACACGTTCGTTCAAATGGAAATCCCATCCTCCCAACTGTGTTTGTGTCCTCTTGATCTTGACAGTGACACACACACAGACTTTATAAGATTCAAACCGATCTATTTTCTCGAGTTAAAAAAATCAATCAAACAGACCGCAACTCTACAAATCACTGTACGCATGGTCCATGATAGAGCTTTTATATTTGATAACGCAACCTCATTTTCAGTTTCAACGATTGCCCCCACATATAGAGGCTTTTCTTCCATCAGATTGGAATATATTCAACCTCCATTGGCATTTCCCCACATTCTTCCACCCGAGCGGCCGAGCCCGAGGGATCCCCTCGTTGAGTCTGTAATTAATATTAGTCATCGTTATTATCTGTCCCATCTTTCCCCAAAGGCCAAAGCGGGATACTTCTATTCCTCGAGTCGAGACAGAGCTGCCTGGTAATGCCAAGGACCTGAAGCAACAGTAGCCATGGTGGCCGAGTCGACTCGTTTCGAGGATCGGGTGCTAGAGACAGTGAAATGTTGCCAAGAACGGAAAGACCCACCTTTAGTATGGGCTATGGAGGTCTCCAAATGTGTCAGAGAGGCTGGGTTCAGCCTCCCCAGCCCTGAATTAGGTGTGGTGTTGGTTTCTAGCCTCTGCTTCAGCAATAACAACCCTTACCTCTGGAAATTTCTCGACCAAGCTATCTCCTCCGGCCTCCTCTCTTCCCTACAAGTTCTCGCCCTCCTTACCTCCAGGTATCCACCCCATCTCCATTATATACCTTATACGTGCTTACGAAATCTCTTTGCACGTTGTTATTGTTTTCAATTTGGTCTTTTCGATTTGCTAATTTATCTTCGTATCTTGTTTTTCTTGATTTCTTTTAGTTTTATATTCGGCCAGCTTAAATTTATGATTCTAAATTTGTGGATATTTTTTTAATAAACTAATGTTCTGAAAACGTAGTGAGCTAAAAAAAAGGTCCTGAAAACGTGGTAACGGCATCCCAACCGAGTTAAATGATTTTGGTACAAACTGTTCGAAAAGCAAAAAGAAAGAGGGATAAAAACGTGTAGGGTGGTTGATTTTATACACAAGGTTCAGAGGAGGAAACAGAGAGCATTTGCATTTGGAATAATCCATTCTTAGGTGTCCGAGTCAACTCAGTCATCTAGTTCCCAAGAGGCGATCAAATACGCAGTACTTAATAGTGGTTTACGTTGTGATGTTTCTTCAACTATTCTTGCCTTGATGCATGGCGTGTTCACTTTAGTCTCCAAGAGCCGGCCAAGTACATATTCCAGAGTCATTACCCTTTCAGTATTTAATAGTGTTTTTTGTGGTGATATTTCTTAGGAGCCGTTGCTTGGTGCAATTGTAAAATGCTGGGTTGACAAGCGTGACAACATGGGTTGGAGTCCGCCACTTTGTGCAAAAAGTGCCAGTGGTTACGTTCATATCCAGGCCATGGCCACCCCTCCCAAGGCCTCAGATAGCTGGACCAACATTGTGTACTGGTCCTTCATGTGGAGATGTTTCTTCAACTCTTCTTGCCTTGATACATGGTCTGTTTACAGGGAAAGAGTTCATGGAGGTGGATTTGAGTGTCAAAAGGTCAAAATTTGAAGGGGAAAATGCCAAATAGCTCAAAATGGAATTCAGCAGATATACTTGATCTTTATGCAACAATTAATAGAAATTGGCTAAAATTTCTAGAAGCATAAATCAATGATGACGAAACTGACAGTTCAAATATTTTCTGATTGGTTATATTAAATTATTCAACTTCTACTGATTTACAAATTCTTTGCAAATTTTAGCCTAAGAAACCATGGTTCTATAGTCTCATATGAATATGTGACAGGTTCATAAGAGATACGACTCTCTCAACTGCAATGCTGGATGGTATCCATGTGTGTTGGCACAGGATCTGTTGGGGTTTTTAGGTTATGTTGTCACCATGATTCAATCATTCATGATGAGGGAGAAATTAAAGAAAATGTTGACCATGGAATTAGAGTGATGGGTGAAGTGGAGGAGTGCATTTGGTATATCATATATCGGCATATGGAAATGAGATTAAAAGGAAAAATTTATAAGAAAACTATAATACCGGCAATGTTATACGAAATAAAGTGTTTGGCAATTAAAAAAAATAACATATACAAAAAAAAGAGAGTATAGCTTAGAATATGAGATGAGGATGTTGAGGCAGATGAATGGAAATACTAAAAATGGCAGAATCAGAAATCAATACATTCAATAAGACTCGTGAATAGCTCCAATAGGTGACAATATGGCCGAAAGTTGATTGGGAGGGTTAGGCCATATGAATAGATTCCCAGCGACTCCGCAGCAATGAGTGGTTTCGTGCAAGTAAAAGGTTCTAAAAGAGCATGGAGAACAAAAAAAGTGTAGGCTGAAGTGGTAAGAAATGACCATACAACCTATTATTTAACAGAAAACATGACTCTTGATGGAAGACAATGGTGGGATTGGATTCATGTATTGGCATATGGAAATGAGATTAAAAGGAAAAATTTATAAGAAAACTATAATACCGGCAATGTTATACGAAATAAAGTGTTTGGCAATTAAAAAAAATAACATATACAAAAAAAAAAGAGTATAGCTTAGAATATGAGATGAGGATGTTGAGGCAGATGAATGGAAATACTAAAAATGGCAGAATCAGAAATCAATACATTCAATAAGACTCGTGAATAGCTCCAATAGGTGACAATATGGCCGAAAGTTGATTGGGAGGGTTAGGCCATATGAATAGATCCCCAGCGACTCTGCAGCAATGAGTGGTTTCGTGCAAGTAAAAGGTTCTAAAAGAGCATGGAGAACAAAAAAAGTGTAGGCTGAAGTGGTAAGAAATGACCATACAACCTATTATTTAACAGAAAACATGACTCTTGATGGAAGACAATGGTGGGATTGGATTTATGTGATGTGCCCAAAATAGTGCTTTTGGGTTATGGGGGAAGTAGGTGAGACAATATTTGGGTTATGGGGAAACCGGATGGTCTTACATGTCAAGTTTCCTACTCTCTTCAGTCTAAATGTAGGCATACACTTGCTTTTTTTTTTGGTATTATATAATACACAGCACAGGGGGACTCAGGGGTAGGGACAGAGCAGGGTGCATGTAAAATCTACTGACCTCACCACAGAGAGCCTGCACTTCCGTGGGTTTGATCCTGTGCCTCCATTTTTGGAGTAATGCCAAGTGACCATCTCAAGTACTAGGTCATTGGCAGCATACACTTGATTTAGAGAGGGAAGTTCATCTCTGCCAATAATCTAAGGACATGCTAACTCATACTTCAGGTTTAGTCCTGTCAGAAACTCAAATCTACTCAATTTGTTTTGAATTTCTCACAATTAGTTTTATACTAAGGTTTGAACATTCGATAAATGATCATGTCCTCCCGTGTACCATGAAGGATGAATAATACTCAACAAGAAATTTCATCCGCTGTCACAAACTGGGCATCTCCTTCTGTAGTTGATAGATGTGTACTATGTTTTTTCTCTGTTGAGACAAGTTTCAGTAGCCACATCCTGAGCCTCTTTGCTGTTCTAAGGAAAAAAGAACCCTTTAATTATCTGTGGCTGCATAGAGTATAAAAAGCCAAGACATGACCATTTAGGTTTTAGATTCCTACTTGTTATAGTCTAAATAGGCGATTAAGATCAGTCAAGATGGTTGGATCCTATCAAACCATTGTTAATAGACATGCCTTTCTTCGTGACTATAGTTGTCAAGGCATCTAGGTGATTTTGGGCAACAGTGGGGTGCCTAGTCACCTAGGTGATAAGAATTTCATAAAATAAAAAAAACTAAAATTTCCCTAGTTCCCCAGTTTTATATACCATTCAGCATGCATATTAATTGAAAAAAAATAGCAATTCTCTTTATTAAGAATATTACATTCTTCTCAAAGCATGGCAAATTTTTTGAGAAAAGGTAAAGTATAATTGTATTAATAAAAGGTCCTCTATACCATGGTTCAAGTGTCGCCAAATGTTGCTAATGTCGCCCGACATATGTCGATGTCGAGTCTCACCGACATGAAAATGGATGGTAATATAAAAATTACATTATGTCGGTTGACATTTCCTAAAATGTCGACCAAATCGGTCCAAATAACCAAAAAAAATACAGTTTTTCCTATTATGTCGACTAATGTACATTAAAAATATAATATATTAGTATATTATATTAATATAATACAGTATATTAATATAGATTATTCCATTAATATTTCTATTTAATATTTCAAATAAAATATTTATAAAAAGAAT